CTTCCTGAACTTTCAGCCTTTAATTCACCCGCTTATTCAGTCATTCGTTCGTCTTTCAAAAACAATTAAAAAGATGTATTTTTCATCTTTATTGTTTCAGTGGAAGTGTATCTTGTTTATTATGTTCAATGTTCATTAGTTGGCGCACTTTTCAACTTATTCGGTACATTAGAAAGAATGGCTGTAGTAATAATAATAATAACAATAATAGTTATTCCATTTGAAAACGAATTATACGCAAAGAAAAAGAGTCCCAAACTAGAAGAAAACAGTTGTCCAGTATTCCAAGGTGGTTCTCCAATGGTTTTCTAACCAATATCAGCTTATGATGAAATCTTGTAAACATGTGAAGTCTTTGAGATCAAATGCATATAGAGATTGTTACAAGAATATGAGAATTTAACCGAATCTACAATTTTGTAAAACAGAAACATTATGAAGATTTAAATTTTTCTGAATCAATTTAAGGTGTATTTGTGCAACTCGTTTTGAATACTCCTACCATGAGATATACTTGTGATACGTATAATCATGCAGAAAAGAGCATGAACTTCGGCGGACTGAAACATGTTCATCAATGTCATCCTCGAAGGCAATTGTGCGATTGCAGTTATATATGCATAAGTTTACATGGATGTAACTACTATTTAGTTCCACAAAATAACGGAGGGTTGATGTGAGGTGATGATAATTTTCAACGTGATATGAATGTCTGAATGTGTGAGAGAGAGTATAGATTGTTACAATAAGCTTGGATACAGTGGTTGTGTAATGTTTGAAACAGTGTTTTAAGGAATACACAGGTGTGAATGAGATGAGCTTGGAAAGATAGGTCGAAATGATAGGTTTTATTTGGGGTTTGCGGGGGAGTTTAGAAAAGCGAAGGGATTGAGAAAAGCACAGGAAGCACGAACTAATTAGTCAAGTCAAACTAGATCCATTGAAAGTATAGAAGATGGACTAGTTTCCTTTGTACGCATACCATCGTCATTTCGATGCATTTGGTGAGAGCTTCTGCACTACAAAGAAGTAGTTGGAAACACAGATTACCTTTGCTAGATTTCTGTTAACTTTGTAAATGATTGTGAATGATGAATGAATTGAGATGCTGTGATAATTGTTGACGAAATTTTGTAATTGTGTTGCTTTCGATTGGACCAAATGCTCTTCTTCACAGTTATGCTGGGTAATGTTGTCTAATTGTGTTTTGGAAGGACAGGATATAATCACCTACATGCCTATCTCCATATGAGAAGCTGAATTAATATTTTCTCGTTGGAGTGGTCATATTTGGGAGTTGTTTCTTAGCATTGTTTAGAAGCAGTGGTCAGCTGGAGAAAATCTCTCTCTCTAAGAGTTGCTGCAGAGAAGGTCTTCATTGGGAAAATCTGGAAATTCTCTTCTAATGGAAAGACTCAGCTTAGTCACTAGTGAACTATCGATTGAAATACAGCGTTCTCCTTGTTACTGAATGGCATTCTTCTCTTCTTTTTAACCTTGATTCTACGTTCTTCTCCACGAAATGTGTGCTATATCCATTTTGATGCAGGATATTTTTTGGGCTCCTCTGTTAATAGTCACTGCTGAAAATTCTTCTGATAATCTGGGTCATTCAGATAATCAGATCTCTTTCTCAACTGACAACTATTCCCTTTAGGAACACAATTTTCAGCGAAGAGACTCTTTTCAACGAATTTATTATCAAGCAGTTATATCAAGAGAACAACGTTGTTCTATACCTTTGTAAAAGATAAGCCCCCCCCCCAGTCTGGTCGCCTCCATGTGCATCTATCAGTTCACCTGCTCCTCTTGTAGAGCCAGGTACATTGGCCGTAGTCAGAGAACTCCGCTTTCCACACGGATATGAAAACATATTCCAGCCACATGGTTTTACAAGGGATAAAGGAAGTGTGTGCGAAGCTCTATTCTGGAACACCTGATCAACTTCTGTCACTCCACACCAACCCTGACCATGATTTCAAGTCATACATAGAATCTGTGCTAACTTGCCGGCCGCGTTTTCTTTGTTACAGACTTCTAAAGACAGCGGAGGCCTTGGCGATTCATGATTTTAAGGCAGCCAGACCTTTGTGTACAAAGGACGTATGTACAATCCCTACTTCTGCCTTGGCCGTAGAGGGATAGACATTTATTTATTTTGTTTATTTAGTTATTCTATGTAATTTTCCCTTATTACTTCGATTATTATTATTATCACTATTCTCACTCTGAATCTTTTCCACTTGACCCACTTATCATTTTAAACACAAAATTATCAATTTTTATATTTTTATTTTTACAATATTGAATTCTATCTTAGAAAATTTGCTGGATATAATTTCTTAAAAACCATATATATATATATATATATATATAGGATTGTACAGTTAATATATGTGTAAAACTTGGGCACTGTGGTAGTAAGTAATTCCATATTAGTTTGCTTATTAAATGTATCACACAGTGAAACAGTATTGTGTACTGGATGACGTTTCGAGCACAATTTAGTGTTCATAATCACATCATATCATTATTGTTATCATAATCATATCAATTGTCATTTTCTAATTCCATTTTTAATTTAATTGAATAGTGTCAGTCATGAAACTCTTTTTAGATACAATTTAAATCGGAATCATCATAACAGACAGTAAAACTGTCGTCGAAATGCATTTTGTAGAGAAATAATGTACCCGTTACTGGTTTTCAGATACCATTTTCGCAACTGTTCACAAGGTCTTTTTGAGGAATTGAACAAAGACAGGAGTCCATGGCAGTTACGTCTATCTATCTATCTTTCTGTAGATATTGTCGTTGGAGATGAATGTACATTAAATGCTCTCCTGAACATCGACTCTTTGAGATATGAGATTGGTAGTCAGATGCTCAGATTCATGCCAAGAATATATTTGCACAGGGGAGAGATAGGTTCTGTGAGTGGCATACTGATGAATAGAGATTCTACGTTAAGTGACAACAGATATTTATTTACCTGCTGTAGTCATATCCTTTACAGATGCAAAAAATTCGAAGATATCTCAGAGCGTTTTTTGATGAATAAATACACGAGTGTCTTTCACTTTTCTCTCTAATATTGCATATTATGCGAGTCACCCTTGGACGACCAACTTGCAGCTTCCCTTTCGGGTTTCACTCGACAGCTTGTCTAGTGATGTCACCTGATGGTTTTCTCAGAGTATGGCCAATTCATCTCTATTTCTTCCCTCTTATTTGTTTCACAATTGGTCCCTGGTTGGTTTGCTTCCAGAGATAACTGTTACCGATCTTTTCTGGCCATCTGATCTCGCGTATTGAGCGAAAACAGCTGTTAATGAAGGTCTGTAGTTTGTTTGAGGTGCTCTTCATAACGCGGAGCCAAGTCTCTGATCCGTATAGTAGCATTGACTTCACATTGGATTTAAATATCTTTAGTATGAAGCCAGTGAAGCCGGCAGCTGCTGATTAAAGTCGGCAATCTTTTGAAAATACTTTTCGTGATGCGCACATCAAGTTTCTGACACGTATAGAAGTACCGACCGATTTGACATTGGTGTTGAAAATGCGAATCTTGTTCCTTATGGCTGAATGAGTGTGGAAGATTTCCAAACTGGTTTCAGTTTGATGAAGGCATGCGTATCTTCCCCTTTCGAATCCGACTTTGACACCTTCACCCGTTCCGACTGCCTGAAGTTGAAACGATACTTCCTGACTGGATAACTGAAGGAGGCAACCTGTGTTAAACCTCTCATACTGATGGTGGTTGATGCTGTTACTCTTGTTTGGTTATTATCATCACCTCTGTTTTCTTTAGGTTAACCTGAAGTCCTGTTTTTGCTGCCTTGTCAGCCAGTAGTTTGTTGGTTATCGCTTGCAAGTCTTCAAGTTTGTGTGTGACATTAGACATATGCCATCTGCACAATCCAGATCTACCAGTGTCCAGTGACCAGCCAACTCTAACTATTTCATTTTGGATATTTTTCAAACAATGTGCGTTTTGTTTATTTTGATATTTCATTATTTAAACGGAACAATTCGTCGAAACATATATATTCATAATCTAGTTTAATACTCTTAGAGTCAGCACTACTGTGTTACAAGTCACCGCAGGACAGACATTCTTCTCTGCTGATGAAGAGAACTTTGCTAGCTTTAACGGTAAATAAATCTGGGAATTTCGTAAGGCTGCTTGGAGGATTTCATCATGCCCATTAGTGACGGGCACTGTTCATTTAGGCAGTTAACCTGAGGTTCTTATGTTGTCACGCCGTGACCAATAGGTTGTAGCATGTTGAAGGTGAGGCAGTAAGTCATAGAAGAAGGCATTGCAAAGTGATCGTTCTGCGTTATGAATTGGCAGAATTTAGAATTCATGGGCTAGCTGTTGTTCCTATAGCCTTTAGTTGAAACGCTGCTTCCCGGTCAGATAAATGAAGGAGGTAACCTCTCGATTTAATAAATATTTCATCAACTTATATCTCTTGGCGATCCAACTAGAAATGTAAAATGTGATTGAATCATGGATCATGCATCATGCATTTTCCTCTAAAATAAAAACCACTTCAAACATAGGATCAATAAACTGTCTCTCTCTCTATCGCACGCTCACTGTCGCTCTCTCTACTGCCTACACATTCTATTTCCTTTTTCCCTTGTTGATCAATGTAGATATTTGTATTCTTTATTATTATTTTTTTATCAGAATGCCTTTAGGGAAAATATTTTTTCCAGCCAAGTGAGTTAGTAGTTGTATAACATGCAAGTCAGTCAACAAATTCACACTAGAATCTTATTATTAGTCATCCCTGTACTTTAGTCTAACGACAACACGAAGAACAACAACGATGGCAACCAATTAATATCGGGTGAGTTCATATATACATATTTTTAGTTTCGGTCTGATTGGTTAGTGTTAGTTAGGCATCCAATTCTCATCCACCCCTACCTACTCTCTGTTCTCTATGTGTTTTGTCTCCACTGTCTGTAAAATTATTATTACTTATTATTATTATTGAGAATAAAGGTTCTTCTTCCCTGTGTTTTCATACGATAGAAAATATAATATATAGATGGTTACAAAATAGTATTTCAGTTACATGAATGACTGAGTACGACGTGTCATCTTAAAACTGCACTAAAGTGTACTACATACATTTGAACCGATCTACAAATAAATAACAAAATAAAAGAATTCGTTGAACATTGAATGGAAAAAGCCTTCGGCGGGAAATTTTTTTTCAAAATTAACTTACAAACTGTCAGGATTATTTATTATTTTGTTTAATTTACAATTATCATGTTATACATTGTTACATTGGTGAATACGATTAAATCTGAATTCGGAAATAAATTCAAGGTTAGTTCACTTGAAAATTGTAATTTTTTATTTTTTATTTTTCTACTTAAATCCATTTTTGAATAGTAGTATTATTATTGAACGTTTGTACTTTGACATATGACACCGGCTTATTAGGTTCCAATCAAAGTGTCCAATACAGTCCTATAGGAGTTCAGCCGTGACTCCGAGTAGCTCAGTGGTAAATTCTCTGACTGCAGCACTGTCTAAGTTACACGGCTGCGAATCTCGGAAGGTAGTTTCAAGTATGTCATGCTGACTGGTAATTGCCAACAACCACAAAATTTAGGTCAGACAAGGCTTCCTGCCGATTGCCTTCAACCACCTAATATACATTTGTGGCAGAATCGACTTCAAACCTCTCCTAGACGTCAGCTAGCCTGTAGTCAGAATGGAGGTACCTGGAGGTTGCGAATAGGTCTACCATTGTCAATCCGTTAATGAAACTTCCAACCGTAAGTTCCCCTACGGATTCATGTCTGAAATTGTTTGTTATGGCATTTATTATGGATATAAATGTGTGGTTTCCCATATGTTGTTGAAACCTGATTGAATGCAACCATGTCTAATGACTTATGGTTTCCTGGAGTAGACGCCTCCATGATGTCTTTACTTTTTTCGCTCTGATTTTGTGTTTCCTGTGATAGTAAGTGGCCACCAGTGGGATGGCGGGTTCACATTTCGTCACCATTTGCTGATTATCGCATGGATAAACCTAAATTTATGGGAAGTGATTTTTATTCCCCATAAGAAGGAAGAAAGTTGAGACACTCTAGTGTAACGCAGTATCTACTTTTATAGGTGTGTTTTTTATTTCTTGCATTCCGTCTATTCTTCTTTATCACTCCTTTACCTCATTATTCTTTCTTCTAATACTTAACGAAAGACTTTGCTACAGTGCGAAGAACTCTAATAATAATAATAAATGATGAGTCAACAAAAAGATCTATGTGTAGAAAACCCATCTAGACAGGACGGTATCTTAATTACCACAGTTTTCGCTCTGTTATGTACAAAAGAGCCTTAGTGAGTGAGGTGTCTCTTCAGTGGAATCCAATGAATATGCACTGAAGATAGACACACTTGATGAAGAAGAAAGAAAGTTGACTCAAACTCTGGTTGATAACAATTATCCAGACAAGTTCATCATCAGGAGATATAAAGTAGTGAGAATACCAAGATCCACTCTCCAACTTACCCCTAAGAAAGACGTGTACATCAAACTACCCTATATGGGGCATCATTGCAGCTTGATAACTGGACAAAGACTAAACGCTGATATAGTTAAGACTTTTTATGCAGCTAATATCATAATAATTGAGAATATGAAGCCAATATATCTATTTAAGCCCTCCGAACATGCCAAAAATGACGTCACATCCTACTGTATTTACCAATTTGAATGTATGTGTGGATACACACACACACATTCATCGATCTCTGGAAGTAAAGGGCTTCAAAGCATATTCCAAAATGGCTCCAGAAACAAATGGAATCATCAGAACCTATTAACAGTGAGAACAGGAGACCTAGATCTTCTATTCCGAAACATATTATAGAGATAGGACATAAAATTGACGTCAATAGATCTTTTAAAAATATCTATAAAATGTGTTCGGGGAGGATGTATCCTAAAGTTTGTTGAAGCCGTAGCTGGCAGTTAGGAAGTTTAAACCACCTTTATGCATTCAAAGCAACAACTCGTCATCACATTAAACCTTTCTTGGTAAATTTTGTTTTCAAACCGTAGAAGATGCTATTTGGTTCAGTGGTCTTCATTTTTATTTTGACCTTGAATATGTCCTTTTAACTTGACCTAAGTAGTCTATTTTCTCACCTCTTAACTCTTTGTTAATTTCATATATATATTCGTATGACAAGTCCGTGTATGATCAGATTGTTCGAAATGTGTTGCGCAAATACGTGGTACACACGATTCAGACAAATTACGTCTTCTTATTGCTTTATCTAAATTCATAAAGGGAACTAATTGTTGTAAAAATAATAATATTAATAATAGCTTTATTTGAACAAAGCAAGAACTACAGTTTTAGCAGAATAAAATGGTACCATCTTTTCTTTCGTTGCCTTCTCGTCAGTTGCTTACATGGCAAAGACATTATTAAATATATCTACAACAACAATTCTAACATACTTGCACAGAGTTCAGTTTAAACAAAAATCAATCGATCAATATACGCATACACTAAAAATATATACATATATAAATATGCAATATTAACCACTATTCCGAACAATAATAATCAAACACAATGGAAACCTTTAGCATTTCACATGTATCTGCGGGAGCAGTTACATTGGAAGGACAGAAAGAAGGGCATATCTACGACTTTCTAAACATGTACCAAAAAGCTTACGTCTAAAGGGAACAAATGCTTTAAACAGTGCCATCACCAGGCATCTTCTCGACACGGGTGGACGTTGAAAAGTCGTTCAAAATTATCAATAAGCAAAATAGTTCAATTCTCCTTAAGTTTGCTGAAGCCATTTCCATCAAGCGCCTGAAACCTGATTTATGCGCCCAGAAAGAAGCGGTTATCAGTCTTTCTTTACCCTGTCTGGTAACTGGATAATTTCACCTCTCTTTCCTCCGAATGTGAAATGCTTAAAGTTTCCATTGTGTTTGATTATTATTGTTCGGAATAGTGGTTAATATTGCATATTTATATGTATATATTTTTAGTGTATGCGTATATTGGTCGATTGATTTTTGTTTAAACTGAACTCTGTGCAAGTATGTTAAAATTGTTGTTGTAGATATATTTAATAATGTCTTTGCCATGTAAGCAGCTGACGAGAAGGCAACGAAATAAAAGATGGTACCATTTTATTCTAAAACGTTTTTTTTAAATTATTAAGGGGAAAAAGTTAATAGCTTTATTCTAAGTAATGTTTATTTAATGTACAGTATTCTCAGCGGAGTCTATTGCACAATAATTTCTCTTCGCTCAAGATATTTAAATAACAGACTAATTGACAGGAGACCGTGTAAAGCAGTTCCGTTTCGACTTTTGAGAAACAGACGACAACAATTGTTGAATGTCAGTTATAATACAAAAAGTTTAGGAGTATATTTTGTTAACCAAGAAAACCACTCAGGAGTGATTATCTCATGTACTCGAATAATCCTGCCATCATAGATAATGCTTTTTGTCATGTTCGGTAGAAACTTAATAATAATAATAATTTGCTTTATTCCAAAACAGTACTTGTGATACACGGAATGGAATTCTCAGCATTTCACTACAGACAGCATTGTATCCAGTTAGTATATTAACAATAAATAAAATTCCACATAGATTAAGGGTAATCTCGGTTAGTTTTGACAACAACATATTGGCATATCGGTTGGTAGCAAAGCGAAAATTGAACAGAGTGTTTGAAGGTGTTAGAAATATAGATGCTACCATGTTTACTGGCGTAAGCAGAAGAAAGAAACAAAGTAGCACATAACAGAGAAAAAAGAGAGAGAAAAGGAAAAGAAAGAAATAAAACGTTGTACCTATAAATGACATGAGTTGGAAAGAAGAGATCCAGTTGTCCTACTGACTATTTAATAAGTTATAGGTATCATGCCTAATCCTTTCTTTATTGCACAGAACACTAGCTAAGTGGGGTATGGTTGAGTTTTTGTACTAGCTAGTGCGAGCATATAGTTTTCTTCTGGTTTTGCTTGATGAGATACAAGGGGGAGAGTTGTGAATGAAGAGGGTGCTGGTGTGAGTTAGATAAAATGGATTTAGCCCATTTTTCACGTGAGTCCATGTGCCTGTCAGCCAGAATATTAACAAGCTGGTTAAATGGCACTTTGCTTACTCTGCTGACAACCGTTCACATCCTGCGTAATAAGGTAAACTCTTTCTTCAGTAGCTCTGGAAAAACGAAGGGGGAAGCATAGAGAATAATAGGCAGAATGCGAGAATGGACGAATTGTAGGAGTAAGGGTTGCGAATCAGTAGGTTGCAAATGTTTTTATATACTCGCCAGAGCAAACAATAATGTTAGAGTTCATATTTTACTTGATTTGACTTAGGTAAATAAGAGAAATTATGTAGGGTTGCAACGGTGCTAGATGAAAGTCTTCGTAAACAAACGTTTATTTGCAATTTGGTATCTTTTCAAGTTATTCTGCTCCAGTCCATGCAGAATATCTCCCAAAACTCCTTCATTTTCTATGAGTTATCTACAGGTGATGGTATTTCTACATAGCGAAATTTTCGCACCTCATCTTCAACGCACCATTTGTACAGATCTTTCGTGTTGCGCCTGCTACCTCTGACCTTCCTTTATACTGTGTGTTTCTTTGCGTTCATTCCACGTCTCCCATGTATCTCCAAATAACACTGCATCATTTGCTTTCTCTGACACCAAATGTATCTCCTTGCTATTTGATGTTCTTATGTCGTTGGATCTCTCTCTAGATATATACTACTGATAACTCTTATCAGTAGTGCACGGTACAATGTGTGAGTAATATAGCGTAGAGGCCAACTGGCTGATACCGTTGTTGACAGACGTTTTTGAATTTATGCATGAAATTGAAAAAAGTCGATTTTCTGAAATCTCGGTACCGTTTGTATTCTTCATTATCCCCTACATTCTCTTCACGTTGGTATAAAAAGCAACCAGCACGTGAATATCAATGAGATACTCACTAGCGACTTGCCCTATTCAGGTAGTTACCTGGGGTTCTAGTGAGAAGTCGTGACCAGTAGGGTGCAGCAGGTCGGGTGTGAAGACCAATACTCGCCAAAGATATTGGTTGGGCTCGCTCTATGTCGTGAACTGGCAGAAGTTAGAATTCATGCACTGGCCGCTGGATCGTTTTCCAGTGGCTTAATGGTCTGCGAGGTCACCTAGTAACCACAAAGTCATGGGTTCGTACCCCCACACTGTGGGCGCGTACTGCTGAAGAGTCCCAAACCTGACTGACGAAACAGCTGTCCAGTACTCCAGTGGAGGTTTTCAAATGGTTCTGT